AATACAACAAAGAATATCGTTTACATGTAGCGTGCATAGGTAGCGCTGTGTGTGTGTGAAACAAAGCGACGGCGAGTTTACGGTACGTTAAATACAGGTGCGTTGCTCATCCATTCAGATGAACTGAAAAACAGCACAGATCGCTTGGCGGAGAGTGAAACTCTGTATTTACAAAAATGTGAGGGGTGTACTCACTTCTGTGAGATACTGCATATTTATTTTAAATATTTTAAATGTTCTTTAATGTTATCCATCGTTTTTTTTTTAAAGTGTCGGTTCAGGCACCGGTACCGTTTCAAAAGTATTGATTTGGCACCGGTATTGTAAAAAAACCAATCGATACTCAACCCTAATGACAACGCAGTGTGGCGATAAACAGACCATTAGCTGTTCTTACAGCAGGAATTTCTTATTATTGTTGATATAAATGTTGCAAATAAACAGGAGACTCGGATGTATTTTGAACGGTCATATGCACACACAACTGTGTTCAGATAGCGGTCTTGATGAGTATTCATTACGTGAACATAATCAGATGAGGAAGAACCCGCACATTAGGTCTGCTGCTGTCTGTGTCATTAAAGTGCCTGCAGTGTGTAATGTAGCGGTCTGTGAATATAAATCATCTGCAAAGTTGTAAAGCCTAAAGTGCATGATAAATGAAGTTATTGTCTCCCAAAATAAAGAATGCCTCTGAAGAGTGAGTGAGGCGAATCTCATCCCCGGGGTCACACATTAGCATAATGCCTGCTATGTTCTACGTTGGCCGGCCGCGAACAACTTGACCAGCACGTGATTTTACTGACGACTGCTTCTCTAAACGCTTGCTCTTGAAAGGTGAATCAGTACCCGGTTTATCTGGACCAGCTGCTCCACTGAATCACCACCTGTGAATCTGATGAATAATAGAGCTTTATATTTTCTACTGAGGATTCAAAATACACAACTATGACAACTGATAGTTTTCACGTCACGCTCTTACAGGAACATCCACATGGAGGGCAAAACAAGGCTTTCCTCCACTGACCGCCAGTGATTTTTACCAGGTTTGCATTAAATAGTAAGAATGATATTTAAAGGCCAAATTCACTACACACATTGATGATGCAGACTTTATACAGGAAAGCAGATGAACCCAGAATATAAACGCAATGCGCAAAGTTTAAAGGGGTCATATGATGCGATTTCAATTTTTCCTTTCTCTTTGGAGTGTTACAAGCTCTTGG